AATTGTATCGTGAGGGTTGCGGAAGAACGTGCGCGTAGAAAAAGAAAAACCCAAATTAAGCCCTGCCATTATATTGGCTTCGTTTATCATCTTGTACGAGCTGCGGTTCCGGAAGTTTCATGGGAACCTGAATTCAAAAACCAGATCTGTTTCCACTTTCCCTCAGTCATAGATTGTAGTGATTAAGTCACTAACTGATAAGCTCTTCCTGCAGAGTGCGACGCAATTAAAGGGGCTGTGCAACGACATTGGGTAGGAATATTTCTTACTTTACACCAGCTTCCTGGCACTAGTGGGACCCAAGAATACTCGAACGCAACACCACTGGCCAAGAAGCGTCTTCGTCGCGGCGGAATTCAAAGGATGAAAGCGGAGCTTTTCTTTAAATCTCTCCTTCCAAAGCCGCCTTTTGCTCCTTCGTGAAATTCGATGACGGAGCTGTGGGGACAATGGCAACTGTATACGATCCCCTGGAATGCGTCATCAAGCTTTGCAGTGACGATATTCAAATGCTGCTCACACAGTGGACGCGAAGACTGCGTACGCATTCGATCTGGGCTCGTGACAATCGATGCCTCGACATGCATTCGGGTAGTGGCCCGTGTCCAATCGCTGCAACGACGGCAATAGCCGAGCCATAACAATGTCTGGAACTCAGCGCGTGTCCAGTGCTTTGCCAACCCCATAGCGTGGCTATGATCAACTTTGGCGGCATATAATCGGCTAGAGATCAAGTGGCCGCTTGTTCTGGCTGAGAGTTGAGGGGGTGAATGGTGCTCGTTTTTCTTTAATTTTTTTTTCTGGAACTTCTATTGCGTGGGGTGAAAAACGAACGCTTGTTTCATAGGTTATTAACGTCAGGGATCCGTTTTAAGCGGTATTTGCGCAAACTACAAAAATTGTTGCATCGTCCCTTTAACACGACCAAGTCATCAGCTTTTTTCTTCTTTTTTTTTTTTCCCCAGTACTTGTCTTTAAGGACTAAAAGGGGAACAAACAACGGTGTTCGTCACTTTCCTGGCAGAGTGAGATTTAAGGAAGCGCCGATGTCACGTTCCCACGCAATCGCCAGCACGCTCAGAAGCAATCCTCCGGTCCACGAAGGATCGTCTTCAGTGAGTTGAAAATGAAGAACTAGTATAAACTATTTGGTTTCGAATTCAATGATGGCGCCGGCACTTCCCCTCGTCATATTTAAAAGGACGCATTATACAAACGAACGAAACCCTTCAAGCTATAAAATGTGCGTTCTTTAAATGGCCGAATCTCCGAAGAACAAATTACGAAGCAGAGAACTTGAAAACAAGAGGCCCCCGACCCCGGGTTTCTTAAACTGTCAGTTACTGTATCTTTTTTTTTTTGTTTTCTGCACCGCATAATTATGACCGATCCAGGATTTGGCCCTCCGATCGAAAAGATTATGTATGCATGACTTCTACCGACTCTGCTTGTGCTTATCTTACATCAGTCTTTAAACTATACACTCTAAGAAATGCCTGCACGTCTACTTACCTTCAAAACACTCAAACAGCCAATATTTGTGATCTATACGAAATCGAGTCAGTGAATGATGGAGCGGAACATCTGTTCAGACCTCAAAATTAAGTCTGCGCTGTGGCATTACGCAATGCAAGCATGACCCTTTGCACAGCGTAATGCCACAGCCCAGACTTCATTTTCTAAACGGATGTTCCGCCTTATCATTCGCTGAGCTGACTTCGTAGATCGCGGAGATTGTCTCTTTGAATGTTTTGCGGGTAAGTAGACGCGCAGGCATTTCTTAGAGTGTACGAAATCGAGTCAGTGAATGATGGAGCGGAACATCTGTTCAGACCTCAAAATTAAGTCTGCGCTGTGGCATTACGCAATGCAAGCATGACCCTTTGCACAGCTTAATGCCACAGCCCAGACTTCATTTTCTAAACGGATGTTCCGCCTTATCATTCGCTGAGCTGACTTCGTAGATCGCGGAGATTGTCTCTTTGAATGTTTTGCGGGTAAGTAGACGCGCAGGGATTTCTTAGAGAGTAATAGAGACACTTAGGGCGTAAGAAATGCAGAGTACGACTCATACAAATTCCCACTTCTTGGTTCGTGATTCGCTGCTCGGCGTTCTTATCCGCTATTGCCTTAATCTCACTGGCTATAGGAAGCCGTAATAAAATTCTCGGAAGTTGCCACGCCTATAGACGCTTTCCGACAGCTCTGCATGGGCGCCGTCGTAACCGACCTTCAGTTTTTGTTTCCTCCTATCAGACTTGGACGTAATTCAACTATCTCTACTCAAACTACACTCTAACAAAAACCCGTGCCTCTACTTTCCCGCACAATACTCGGAGAGCCAATCACCGCAACTTACGGAGGCAGCTCAGCGAATGACGATGTCGAAACATATGTTTAGACCAGGGGTGGCCAAACCGCGGCTCGCGAGCCGCATGCGGCTCTTTGCTGGTCCAAGTGCGGCTCGCGGATCCCTCGTAAGGGGACACCCCCCCCCCCCCCCCCCCCGCCCCTTTCCGCGTTTCCCCCGGAAAAAAAGAAGAGATTTTAGGCAGAATAAAGTATGGCCCTCGGTATGGCTACTTTATTACGTATAAGTGCACAAGGCTGTACTGTCGTACAGCCTTGTGCACTCATACGTCCAGTCAGACTCTGAACAAAATTTAAATTTGCCTCCGCCCCCTCCCCCTTCCCCCCCCCCCCCCCCCCCCCCCCCCCCCCGCGGCTTTTGGCAGTTTCGTGGTTTCGTTTGCGGCTCTTAGGCCGGGTCAGCCTGGCCACCCCTGGTTTAGACCAAAAAACGCAGTCTGAGTTTTGATATTAAGCAATGCAAGCCAGACGTGGTGCATTGCTTAATGTCACAACTCGGACTGCGTTTTTAGGTCTAAACATGTGTTTCAGCATCGTCATTCCCTGAGCTGCCTAGTAAGCTGCGGTGATTGGCTCTCCGAGTGTTTCGAGGAAAGGTAGTCGCACGGGAGTTTTTAGAGCGCGGCTCAATTTGTTGCGTGTTTAAAGCGTTTATACCTCTCTTAAGCAGCTAGTTCCGAATCACTGCAAACATAAAAAAAGTAAGGCACAGATATGACTTATATATATATATATATATATATATATATATATATATATATATATATATATATATATATATATATATATATATATATATATATAACGGGCATGGGTAGCGGGAGGCCGAAGGCTTAGGTATATAACTGAGAAGAAAAAACCCTTGGTGAAAACAGCAACAAAGGACGATTTATGCTTCGACTTTTCGGCCGGAAGTCGGCCTTCGTCATATATATATATATATATATATATATATATATATATATATATATATATATATATATATATATATATATATATATATATATGGTATCGGTGCCGCCTAACTTGTCGAAGGCTCTGGATAGATGCTGTTTACGAAGTTATTTCGTAAAAGTCCACCGTACGGAATATCTCCCGAAGCATACGCGTCATACAGCGTCTGTTGAGGATAGTTGTAAACCCCAAACTGGGCATACAGACAAGAGACGAAAACACAAAACATCACAGTTTATATATATGTATATATATATATATATATATATATATATATATATATATATATATATATATAGAACAGCACCTGAGAACAAAAGACGGCACTCGAGAGAAATATGCTCAAAGAAATATTTGCCCTTAAAGGAGTTGGTCGAGAATGGCAGTAATAATATTATATTTAATTATTTCCATAGTATTTGCTGCATTGGTATCGTGATATATTAAACTTTTAAGCGAGAATTTAGTTGAGTAGATACCCGCTAAACGGTAAGCATTTTTCTAATTAACTTCTTCTTTTTTCCGGCCGTTTTTTCTTTGATTGAAAGAAAAGGAGAACGAAGTGTTCTCACTTGACTGACGAAGAGCCTACCAGGCCCGAAACGTTTCATCAAGCTCACTTTTTTGGCAACCTCCTCGACCAACTCCTTTAAGGGCAAATATTTCTTTGAGTATATATATATATATATATATATATATATTCCTTTTTGCATTGATACCGCTCGCTGGTAAAACTTAATCTTTTCTTTGTTCTCCTACCCAGCGGAAAGCATATTCACTGAGTAGGTATAGGAATGAAATTTCCTTTCTCTTAACCGAAATCTCTCCATTTCTCTTACTAAACCAACGCCGTGCTGCCTTATACCCCTGTCATACGGGCACGTTGAAGGACTTCAGAACGAACTCGTTTAAAAGATCGACGAACCAGCGCATGCCGATCGCGATTTAAAACATCGCGAGCTGATTCTCCTATTTTGAAAGGCGCTCGTTGTGAAGACCCTTACATACCCGTCTGAGAGGGGTTGTACTCGGATATGTAATTCATTTTTCTTTGTGTTTGAGTTGAACTGCAGCATCTGGTAGCGTTTTGGAAACTAAACTGGGATACGCTAAAATATAAAGACACGCTCTCACCGAACCATCAGCAACCCCGAAACATATGCGGGACTGATTTGTTCGGGGAATTATACCCGTCATTTCGATGCGAATCCGCCACCTAACGGAAGCGCTTTCATTTTCCGCGTTGTAGCGCGGAAAAGCAAAGTTTAATCTGGCCAAAACGCTTTCCAAACATCTTATGCCAAAATAAATATATAACTAAAATAAACAGTGAGAAATACAGGCAGGGCTTCTTCACTCTAACAAATTGTACATAAACACAGCGACCGCAAGGCCACGGCCGGGCGTACCTTGGACAATCAGAACTGTTCCATGGATAAAGTTTGATACAGAATAAAGCCGAGTCTCTCAGCTAGTCGTCTGTTGCCACTCTGCGACTACCAGGAGGTCTCCTTCCGTCACGAAGAGACGCGTCCGGCAAAGCTCCTCTACCTGCGCGCCAGCGGTGCTCCAGGAAGCTCGGGAGCATGGTCCATATCGTCTCTTCCAAAAAAAAAAAAAAATTACCGGGGCGCGGAAGAAGCGTGTTTCAGTGGGTGTCCCCATGCAGCACTCACCGGTGGGTGGCCTGGGTGCCACGGGGAGCAGCTTGTGCTCGGCCTCAACCTCGCTGGGCGAGAACGATCCGTGGAAGCAGGAGAGCACGTTGCCCATTGTCTTTCGCGGCCGCCGGTCCTCTGGCGGTCTGACGCCTCCGGATTTCGGTGCGCTGCGGCGACGCCCAAGGGGGCTGCTGGGTGCCCTCGCCTCCGCTGCGTCTTCCCCCGCCGAGCCCGCTGCGAGGGAACACACGCTCCGTTACGCGCTACCCTCGCCGGGGAAAACGCGCGTCGGTGCTGCCCAGGCACCCGCCGGCCACGCAACGCCGCGAGGGGCTGACCTCTGCTCCTGGAATGGGCCTAGAGACCGAGGCTCGACGCTGGGCGATCTAGGAGCGCGAGACCTTCCGATGTTGAGCCGCTGTCTTCTTCGTCTTCTGCCCGTCGCCTCAAGCTAGCTCGGGACGCTGGAGTGGCCGGTTTGGCCCGGGGGATCGGTGGACGAGTGGGCTAGCGCACCGCAGCTCGGAGCACATGAAGCGAAAGCTCGCGCGGCAGAACCCAGGGAGTCTGGGTTCAATCCCCACCCCTGCCCTTTTCGATCTGGATAAGCATCGTATAGCGAGACGAGGTCGTGTATCACTACTGCGTGGTGCACGTTAAAGACCCTGCAGGCGAGCAGTTTGTACTGCACTGGCTATATTTCTCATGTACAGTGGATAACAATGTTGCCATACTCTGGTAAACTAAACTCCTGCTGGCTAAACCTATAACAATAATTTTGTTGTTGTTTGTCCGGCTTGCTCCTTTGCTCTTCGCCACTCAGATCACTCGAGTCATTAAGAATAAAATAATAAAAAAAATTAGCTACTGTTTTTGGTCATATACCTGCGTGTTTCGCGGTTTCCCATTCTGTGACGAAAAGAAAATGGGTGCGTTTTTATTGAGTACAGCACGGGTCTGGGCATAGCCTCCTCTATACTCACAAAGCCTGGCAGTTCGACAGACGAAGCCATAGAGCGCCCGGTCGCAGATTTCGAGCGCGAGGATCTGGTAGCATAAAGCATCTCTCGGGGAAGCTGGTAGTAAGCGCACAGCTTTTGCAGCGGCGAGGACGCGCGAGGAACGCGAGGAGCACGAGCGGACATTTCATCGCTCGGGAAGAAGTATGTTTCGGCGTCTCGCCGCAGCGGGGCGCCCGTTACATGACTCTCCTCTCATCCGTTGTCTGCCGCCCTACCTTTTCACTTTCGGCGGCCACGTCTCATGGCGATCTACCAGGCTTTGTGGGTATAGAGGAGGCTATGGTCTGAGCGTAGATTTTGAGTTTGATTTGCACGTGTGCTTGTGCATATGAGACGCTAGATGAAGCCACGTGGTCACGCTAATTGCTTGTACTTCCAATTTCGCAGCTGTTGTTGTTGTTGAGTGTTGTTACACACGGGAAGAGGGGATGCCTGCACGTAATGCTAGCCTCCTTGGCAGGGGCAAGTCTCGCACAGGCGGGGAGAGAGGGTGAGAAAAGAAGAGGGTGTGATTTGGTCACCAATCTCTGAATGAGTAGGGTCGAATCAGGAGGCTATTTTCTTGAGGGAGAGGGGACACTGCAGAACTGTCTTCTGGTATGGAGATCACAAACTAGTCGATGGCAGTTGAGACGAGAAGGCGTGGCTGGTCTAGATGGCAGGCCGGTGGGCTGGAGGCGCGTTGCAAGTCCAGTGGCATGGAGGTACTCAAGAGAGATTTATAAACAAGTTCTCTTCTTCGTCGACTTCTGGTAGGAAAAACGATTTCGTTCTGTTGAGTCACAGTTGTGCTGGGACTTAGGATGATGGTAAAAAAGGACCGTCGAGCTTGATCGTAGTGAGAACAATTTAGGAGGACGTGGTCAAGGTCCTCTGGGACATTGCATCTGGCACAGTTGAGTGTACTACCTGGAGATCATGTGAAGTGTCGTTGATGTGTAGGCGCAGTTTGCACGAAGGCGAGGCAGTAGCGTGGATTCTGATCTGGTTAGTTTTGACTCAGGGAGCGATGGGGGAGGATTCCCGCTTGCAACTTCTGTATGGGGGCGACGCATTGTGGTAATTAATTTGCACAGTCTGCGCGCCTCGCAATAACGTGGGATGAAAAGACTGAGTTCTTCTTTCTTGCGTACATTTGAAGCAAGGGCATCAGCGCGTTCCTTGCCGGGGATACCCATATGTGACGGAATCCATTGAAAAGCCAACTGCACTCTAAAAAATGTATGTGCGTCTACTTTCACGCACAACACTCGGAGAGCCAATCAGGCAACGCGGTGAAAAAGTTCGAGTGAGGTCATTTGATGAGCCCTGATTGTGATGATAGGTAGGCTGTATAACATTCTTGAGAGGATAAGGCCACGATAGAGAATCAGAAGTCCTTGAGGAGGCAGTCCAGATTTATGGCGATGGAAGTGACGGAGCACAGTCAATAATTTAGTGCACTGCGTTACAAGTCGTTTTATCTCGGGTTCCCAGGTAACGTGGTCATCTATTTCATCCCCAAGTATCGGTACGTTGAGACTCTCCGGATCGGTATTCCTTTGATGGCTGGCGTATTTGCAACTTTGCGGTTTGGATGTCGACCAGGGCGGTAACAGAGGAAGGCTGTTTTGCTTGTAGATAAAGTAAGTCCTAGTTCTTCTAGAGTAGAAGTCGTGCTGTCAAGAACTTCCTGAAGCCTTTTGCCGATGGTCCTTGACAGTCTGATGACCAAATTGCCACATCATCGGCGTATATCGTCATGTGAACAGTTGTGCTGGACGTTTCTGTAGAGTTTATGCATAGCGGAAGTTCTGCCATGGTAAGGTTAAACAGAAACGGGCTCAGTACACTTCCTTGGGAAACGCCTTGGGTCACCGACCGACGAGTGCTAAGACATTCGGCAACTCTTACTGTTAGGCTGCGGCCAGTGGGGAACGCGGCGATATAGTCATATCTTCTTCCACCAATTCCGTACCGTGTAAGTTCACGCAGGTGTGGCAGGGCATCGAAAGCTTTGCATATGTCCAAAAATATGCAGTAGACTGTTTGGTGAGCTGAACGTGCATTTTCAAGGCTCGAAACGAGATCAGCAATGGCGTCAAAGGTGCACCTCCTTCGTCGAAATCCGCAGAGTTGATCTGGCTGTGCTCTTTTGGATTCAAGCAGCCACGTAAGTCTTGAAAGTACTAGTCTTTTAATTAATTTCCCGACACAACTGGTCAAAGAAATGGGCCGGTAGGATTCAATCCGATCACCGGGTTTTCCTTGCTCTCTGATAGGAACCACTACAGAGGTGAGCCATGCTGCAGGGATTTTTGCCGTTCTCCATATGTTGTTAATAGACTCCAGTAAGGCCTCTCTATGCGGGAAAGAAAGATTTCTCAGTGCTTGAAACGTTACGCCGTCCGGTCCCGGAGCGGTTCGACGGCGCTAGCGTCGGAGGGCAACATCAAGTTCAGTGATGGTGAAGTCAGCGTCCATTTATGAGCAAGGATTTGTTTTCAATGGAACTGGAGGCTTGTCCCTGTGTGCCTGTGGTGGCTGGATTGGGGCAGCGAACGCATCAGCAAAAAGCTCCGCGGTTTCTTGAGTAGTGCGGCCTAGCGCTAAGGCTAATCCTGCAACGGGATGCTCGGGTTGCTTTTTATCTTCAAGACTCTGACGATCCTCCATGCTCTCGAAATACCCGATGGGGACCCGAACGACTCGCATAGTTGGTTCCACTGTAGGCGTTGGAGGCGCTTAGTATATCGGCGAAATTTGGCATCGATCTTGCGATGTTCAGTCCAATCATCCATATCATCTGTTTTTCGAGCTCGTCGCTGCGCGCGGCGTCGAGCAGCCCTTAGGTTTAGGTACATGAGGTCAGGAACAGGCCAAGTGTATGGTACTCTAATGGTCTTTGTTGACAGCTGAATGGCTTGTACAATCGTGGCTGTGGTGTCTTCCGTCGTGCTGCGAGCTAGAGCAAAGTCCATGTGAGATCGGAATACATCCCAGTTGGTAACTCGAACTTCTCTGTAAGTTTAGTTTGTCTTTTTGGCAAGCTTGCTGGTAATCATGATCGGTATATGATCACTACCCCAGGTATCGGCTAGCACATTCCAATCTGCCAATATATCCGGGGACAGGAACGTCAGGTCTAATACACTGCGGCCAACTCCACGTCTGATGAACGTTTCCGCACCGTCATTAAGGGCCTCTAAATGAAGTGGAGATGTCATACTATCAAGACCAAATCCTCTCCTTGTATTTTTGCGGTCACCCCATATCTTGTTGTGGGCGTTGAAATTTTTACAGAGTATAAGATGGCCTCTGCTTCTCTGCTTTACATTGGAAAGCGCTCCGACATTTCATTTGCAATTTGGAGGGACATACACTGAAACGACTGTGAAGCCCACGTTTTTGTATCTAACAGACACAGCAGCATATTCAGCACTTCTCTTCGAAACTGAAGATAGGTCTACTGGCAATCGAGGAAGCCCGGCGCGAACAAAGACTACAGATCGTGGCTTGCAGTCCTTCCTTTTTGTAGAACTGTAATAGGCTACGTAGGGCGACAGGCGGCTGTTGGATGGATCGTTGTTAGGTTCCTGAATCGCCAGTATATCAATCCTAGTGGAGAGTAGATACCTCTGAAGATCTGGAAGGTGGGGATTTAGGCTGCAAGCGTTCCACTGTAGAATTCTTGAAATTTCGGGTTTATCGTTTGTACGTTCCTTGAAGTTGCGACTTTGAGCCGAGGCCATCCGCTCCTAGCGGTGGAAGGGTCCTACTTTCAAAAAGGATTCCATTGCAAGCAGGGCTTGCGTTTCCGGTAGGTTGTCTGAATCAGGGATCGCTTTGATGATGGCCCTTAGCGCAGCAAAAAGCATTGTAATAAGGACGCTACCAAGATCACCAGCCTGCTCTTGTCGTTTGCGCCTTGGAGCTGATGATACCGACGTAGGTTGTCGGATGGTCGTCTGGGTGGTAGGGGCTGATTTCAGTAATTGCATAGTTGATGGAATTCCTCTGGCTGTCTCAAGTGCGTCTTCATGTGGCCGACGTTCTCTGTGTTTTTCTTTCACTCCATTCGTCGTCTTCTTCAATGCGTCACTGTAAGTTGGCTTTTGGGCTCGCTTATCCGTTGTAACCGGGACGGGCAAGGGTACGCGCACAACTTTAGGGTTTAAGGTGGCCGCAAGCCCACGATTTTCCTTGCCGATTGGTGCAAGTCTTGTGGTGGTG